TCACACATCCAGCACATAAATCTACTCACACATCCAGCACATAAATCTATTCACACATCCAGCACATAAATCTACTCACACATCCAGCACATAAATCTACTCACTCACACATCCAGCACATAAATCTACTCACTCACACATCCAGCACATAAATCTACTCACACATCCAGCACATAAATCTACTCACACATCCATCACATAAATCTACTCACTCACACATCCAGCACATAAATCTACTCACTCACACATCCAGCACATAAATCTACTCACACATCCAGCACATAAATCTACTCACACATCCAGCACATAAATCTACTCACACATCCAGCACATAAATCTACTCACACATCCAGCACATAAATCTACTCACACATCCAGCACATAAATCTACTCACACATCCAGCACATAAATCTACTCACACATCCATCACATAAATCTACTCACACATCCAGCACATAAATCTACTCACACATCCAGCACATAAATCTACTCACACATCCAGCACATGAATCTACTCACACATCCAGCACATAAATCTACTCACTCACACATCCAGCACATAAATCTACTCACACACCCAGCATATAAATCTACTCACACATCCATCACATAAATCTACTCACACATCCGTCACATAAATCTACTCACTCACACATCCAGCACATAAATCTACTCACACATCCAGCACATAAATCTACTCACTCACACATCCAGCACATAAATCTACTCACACACACAGCACATAAATCTACTCACTCACACATCCAGCACATAAATCTACTCACTCACACATCCATCACATAAATCTACTCACTCACACATCCAGCACATAAATCTACTCACACACACAGCACATAAATCTACTCACTCACTAATCCAGCACATAAATCTACTCACTCACACATCCAGCACATAAATCTACTCACACATCCAGCACATAAATCTACTCACTCACACATCCAGCACATAAATCTACTCACACATCCATCACATAAATCTACTCACTCACACATCCAGCACATAAATCTACTCACACATCCAGCACATAAATCTACTCACTCACACATCCAGCACATAAATCTACTCACACATCCAGCACATAAATCTACTCACACATCCAGCACATAAATCTACTCACTCACACATCCAGCACATAAATCTACTCACACATCCAGTACATAAATCTACTCACTCACACATCCAGCACATAAATCTACTCACACATCCAGTACATAAATCTACTCACACATCCAGCACATAAATCTACTCACACATCCAGCACATAAATCTACTCACTCACACATCCAGCACATAAATCTACTCACTCACACATCCAGCACATAAATCTACTCACACATCCAGCACATAAATCTACTCACACATCCAGCACATAAATCTACTCACTCACACATCCAGCACATAAATCTACTCACACTTCCAGCACATAAATCTACTCACACATTCAGCACATAAATCTGCTCACACATTCAGCATATAAATCTACTCACACATCCAGCACATAAATCTACTCACACATCCATCACATAAATCTACTCACTCACACATCCAGCACATAAATCTACTCACACATCCAGCACATAAATCTACTCACACATCCAGCACATAAATCTACTCACACATCCAGCACATGAATCTACTCACACATCCGTCACATAAATCTACTGACTCACACATCCAGCACATAAATCTACTCACACATCCAGCACATAAATCTACTCACACACACAGCACATAAATCTACTCACTCACACATCCAGCACATAAATCTACTCACACATCCAGCACATAAATCTACTCACACATCCATCACATAAATCTACTCACACATCCAGCACATAAATCTACTCACACATCCAGCACATAAATCTACTCACTCACACATCCAGCACATAAATCTACTCACTCACGCATCCAGCACATAAATCTACTCATTCACACATCCAGCACATAAATCTACTCACACATCCGTCACATAAATCTACTCACTCACACACCCAGCATATAAATCTACTCACACATCCAGCACATAAATCTACTCACACATCCAGCACATAAATCTACTCACTCACACATCCAGCACATAAATCTACTCACTCACACATCCAGCACATAAATCTACTCACACATCCAGCACATAAATCTACTCACACATCCAGCACATAAATCTACTCACACATCCAGCACATAAATCTACTCACACACACATCCAGCACATAAATCTACTCACTCACACATCCAGCACATAAATCTACTCACTCACACATCCAGCACATAAATCTACTCACACATCCAGCACATAAATCTACTCACACATCCAGCACATAAATCTACTCACACATCCAGCACATAAATCTACTCACTCACACATCCAGCACATAAATCTACTCACACATCCAGCACATAAATCTACTCACACATCCAGCACATAAATCTACTCACTCACACATCCAGCACATAAATCTACTCACACATCCAGCACATAAATCTACTCACACATCCAGCACATAAATCTACTCACACATCCAGCACATAAATCTACCCACTCACACATCCAGCACATAAATCTACTCACACATCCAGCACATAAATCTACTCACTCACACATCCAGCACATAAATCTACTCACTCACACATCCAGCACATAAATCTACTCACACATCCAGCACATAAATCTACCCACTCACACATCCAGCACATAAATCTACCCACTCACACATCCAGCACATAAATCTACTCACACATCCAGCACATAAATCTACTCACTCACACATCCAGCACATAAATCTACTCACACATCCAGCACATAAATCTACTCACTGACACATCCAGCACATAAATCTACTCACACATCCATCACATAAATCTACTCACTCACACATCCAGCACATAAATCTACTCACACATCCAGCACATAAATCTACTCACACATCCAGCACATAAATCTACTCACACATCCAGCACATAAATCTACTCACACATCCAGCACATAAATCTACTCACACATCCGTCACATAAATCTACTCACACATCCAGCACATAAATCTACTCACACATCCAGCACATAAATCTACTCACTCACACATCCAGCACATAAATCTACTCACTCACACATCCAGCACATAAATCTACTCACTCACACATCCAGCACATAAATCTACTCACACATCCAGCACATAAATCTACCCACTCACACATCCAGCACATAAATCTACTCACACATCCAGCACATAAATCTACTCACACATCCAGCACATAAATCTACTCACACATCCGTCACATAAATCTACTCACACATCCAGCACATAAATCTACTCACACATCCAGCACATAAATCTACTCACTCACACATCCATCACATAAATCTACTCACACATCCAGCACATAAATCTACTCACACATCCAGCACATAAATCTACTCACACATCCAGCACATAAATCTACTCACACATCCAGCACATAAATCTACTCACACATCCGTCACATAAATCTACTCACACATCCAGCACATAAATCTACTCACACATCCAGCACATAAATCTACTCACTCACACATCCAGCATATAAATCTACTCACTCACACACTCAGCACATAAATCTACTCACACACACATCCAGCACATAAATCTACTCACTCACACATCCAGCACATAAATGTACTCACACATCCAGCACATAAATCTACTCACACATCCAGCACATAAATCTACTCACACATCCAGCACATAAATCTAAACACACACCCAGCACATAAATCTACTCACACATCCAGCACATAAATCTACTCACACACACAGCACATAAATCTACTCACTCACACATCAAGCACATAAATCTACTCACACACCCAGCACATAAATCTACTCACACATCCAGCACATAAATCTACTCACACATCCATCACATAAATCTACTCACACATCCAGCACATAAATCTACTCACACATCCAGCACATAAATCTACTCACACATCCAGCACATAAATCTACTCACACATCCATCACATAAATCTACTCACACATCCAGCACATAAATCTACTCACACATCCAGCACATAAATCTACTCACACATCCAGCACATAAATCTACTCACTCACACATCCAGCACATAAATCTACTCACTCACACATCCAGCACATAAATCTACTCACACATCCAGCACATAAATCTACTCACACATCCAGCACATAAATCTACTCACACATCCAGCACATAAATCTACTCACTCACACATCCAGCACATAAATCTACTCACACACACACCCAGCACATAAATCTACTCACTCACACATCCAGCACATAAATCTACTCACACACACATCCAGCACATAAATCTACTCACACACACATCCAGCACATAAATCTACTCACACATCCAGCACATAAATCTACTCACTCACACATCCAGCACATAAATCTACTCACACACACACCCAGCACATAAATCTACTCACTCACACATCCAGCACATAAATCTACTCACACACACATCCAGCACATAAATCTACTCACACACACATCCAGCACATAAATCTACTCACTCACACATCCAGCACATAAATCTACTCACACATCCAGCACATAAATCTACTCACACATCCGTCACATAAATCTACTCACTCACACATCCAGCACATAAATCTACTCACACATCCAGCATATAAATCTACTCACACATCCAACACATAAATCTACTCACACATCCGTCACATAAATCTACTCACACATCCATCACATAAATCTACTCACACTAAATCTACAGGCCAAAACAAATGGATACAACAGGTGTAGCCTTAAATAGTTTTGACCTGTCACCATCAGTTCCCATGACGTAAGAGCTAAGTGTAACGGCTAAAGTACAAGACTCACAGCGTACACATCAACATCAGGTTTACACATCAACAAGATGTACACATCAACATAATATTGTAGACAAAACCATGAGGTGTACATAAAACTATGAAACAAAATGTGTACCGACCTTTTCTGTGTCTACCTTGTGGGTCGATGTGTGATGCGGCAAGGTCTTTGTGACGCCGCCCGTCCCAGGGGCTGCCACACTCCGTTGTATGACCAGACTCGAGGGGGGATCTGGGGGAGGAGAACAAATTGTTGTATGACCAGACTCGAGGGGGGATCTGGGGGAGGAGAACAAATTGTTGTATGACCAGACTCGAGGGGGGATCTGGGGGAGGAGAACAAATTGTTGTATGACCAGACTCGAGGGGGGATCTGGGGGAGGAGAACAAATTGTTGTATGACCAGACTGACGGGGGGGGGGGTCTGGGGGAAAACAAAAAGCTGTATATCCACAAGTCTAAAGTAGATTTGTACATCCACAAGTCTAGAGTAGATTTGTACATCCACAAGTCTAGAGTAGATTTTGTACATCCACAAGTCTAGAGTAGATTTGTACATCCACAAGTCTAGAGTAGATTTGTACATCCACAAGTCTAGAGTAGATTTGTACATCCACAAGTCTAGAGTAGATTTTGTACATCCACAAGTCTAGAGTAGATTTTGTACATCCACAAGTCTAGAGTAGATTTGTACATCCACAAGTCTAGAGTAGATTTGTACATCCACAAGTCTAGAGTAGATTTTGTACATCCACAAGTCTAGAGTAGATTTGTACATCCACAAGTCTAGAGTAGATTTGTACATCCACAAGTCTAGAGTAGATTTGTGTACATCCACAAGTCTAGAGTCTAGAGTAGATTTGTACATCCACAAGTCTAGAGTAGATAGCATCATTTATAGTCTCTCAACATTCATACATAGGCAAAAATTATTGACCTCCCGACATTAAAGACGAAGAATATTGAAGGGACCATTGACACAAGACATGTAGACTTAAAAAGATCGAAAATATTTTTACACCCGAAAAAAAAAAATCGAATATCCAAATATGGTCCAAAATTTTCTTTAGCGAAGGTTTTATTACACGTTTATTGGTAATTTTATTGTACCTTTGTAAAATTTGCATCCCAAGTAAACAAAGGCAGTGATATGATGTCACCAAAGCTGACCCAGTTAAACACAAATACATTTTAACCCTCTATAGACCAGAGTTGAACAACCCCACACATTTAACACTCTAACGACCAGAGTTGAACAGCCACACACATTTTAACCCTCTATAGACCAGAGTTGAACAACCCCACACATTTAACACTCTATAGATCAGAGTTGAACAACCCCACACTTTTCAACCCTCTATAGACCAGAGTTGAACAACCCCACACTTTTCAACCCTCTATAGACCAGAGTTGAACAACCCCACACATTTAACACTCTATAGACCAGAGTTGAACAACCCCACACATTTAACACTCTATAGACCAGAGTTGAACAACCCCACACATTTTAACCCTCTATAGACCAGAGTTGAACAACCCCACACTTTTCAACCCTCTATAGATCAGTTGAACAACCCCACACTTTTCAACCCTCTATAGACCAGAGTTGAACAACCCCACACATTTAACACTCTATAGACCAGAGTTGAACAACCCCACACATTTAACACTATATAGACCAGAGTTGAACAACCCCACACATTTCAACACTCTATAGACCAGAGTTCAACAACCCCACACTTTTCAACCCATATAGACCAGTGTTGAACAACCCCACACATTTAACACTATATAGACCAGAGTTGAACAACCCCACACATTTAACACTCTATAGACCTAGACCAGAGTTGAACAGCCCCACACTTTTCAACCCTCTATAGACCAGAGTTCAACAACCCCAAACATTTAACACTCTAACGAACAGAGTTGAACAACCCCACACATTTAACACTCTAACGACCATAGTTGAACAACCCCAAACATTTAACACTCTAACAACCAGAGTTGAACAGCCACACACATTTTAACCCTCTATAGACCAGAGTTGAACAACCCCACACTTTTCAACCCTCTATAGACCAGAGTTGAACAACCCCAAACATTTAACACTCTAACGACCAGAGTTGAACAGCCACACACATTTTAACCCTCTAAAGACCAGAGTTGAACAACCCCACACTTTTCAACCCTCTATAGACCAGAGTTGAACAACCCCACACTTTTCAACCCTCTATAGACCAGAGTTGAACAACCCCAAACATTTAACACTCTATAGACCAGAGTTGAACAACCCCACACATTTAACACTATATAGACCAGAGTTGAACAACCCCACACATTTCAACACTCTATAGACCAGAGTTCAACAACCCCACACTTTTCAACCCTCTATAGACCAGAGTTGAACAACCCCACACTTTTCAACCCTCTATAGACCAGAGTTGAACAACCCCAAACATTTAACACTTTAACGACCAGAGTTGAACAACCCCACACTTTTCAACCCTCTATAGACCAGAGTTGAATAACCCCATTATCCCCATAAACTTTAGCGCTCGGAAACTTTATTGTTTTTCCGTCCCCTGGCAGTAAATTATAATAAACATCAGGACCCCCCCCCTACACACACACAGCAATCACGTGGTTTAATGACGTCACCCTGAGCATCTGTGATTGACAATAAACCAATCAGCCGCGTGGATTAAGGGTCGGTTCATTAATCGATTCTAGTCAAGACGAAATCACACACGTGTTAAAATGTGTGCTTGATGTAGCTGTACGTAAAAGCTTCATTTCAACACACGAGGTTGGCGCACGGCATAATTCTTGTTGGCGTGTTCTAATGTAATGCTACAAGGTCACCCGAAGGTCACATGGGGTGCAGTGCCGTCAATTGAAGGTCACGTGATGGGTAGTGCCGTCACCTGAAGCGATGTGCAGGGACGGGCAGGTGTAGAGACCGGATGTGGAAATCTCTAACATGGCGTCAACGACAACCACGTGGGTATGCTCGCGTGAGTGACGTCAGGCTTGCCTAATGATTCAGTCAAAGGTGAGTCCCCATTCACACGGTGTGGTGTGTGTGGGGGTGTGGGGTGTGTGGGGTGGGGTGTCTAATCTGACAGGTAAACTTAGGTCAGTTTCATTAACATACATAGGGGGTTAGGGTACTTGAGGGTCTACATAGGGGGTCAGGGTACTTGCAGGTCTACATGGGGGGGGGGACAGGCTCCTAGCAGACACATAGGGGTCTACATATAGGGGGTCAGGGTACTAGAGTGTCTACATATAGGGGGTCAGGGTACTAGAGTGTCTACATATAGGGGGTCAGGGTACTAGAGGGTCTACATATAGGGGGTCAGGGTACTAGAGGGTCTACATATAGGGGGTCAGGGTACTAGAGGGTCTACATATAGGGGGTGAAGGTACTAACAGACCCAACTAGCAGCCCAATACGTTTGGGGAATAGTGGATGTTACACCCACCCCCACCCCCTCAGAGAAATATGCCGGAAACTGATACCTACACATATGGGGAACTCTTGTATTTACATGTACACATTTGGGACCACTCGCGTCACACATGGCAAAATATGAAGAAAGCTATGACGTCATAAGAAGAGCACGTATGGCCAGATAAACACGCCACACATAGAAATATGTTTTAATGGACCAATTTTTTTATTACCAACTACACACATCATAAATGGAACAGCCTAGATGTGTAAGTGTTTACAGGCAACTTACATGAAGAGGCGTAGCCAGGGCGGGACGGGGAGTCGAACCGCTGCGGGTGACAAAATTTAACGGGGGTGAACGCCAAGGCAAAATATTGCAAAATGTATAAAATGAAATGCCTTTTTGAAAGATCCATTAGTGATTAATTATAGTTAACTAGTCTTTTAAGTACAAATCGACAATTATTACAAGAGGGTGGGGGTGAACACAATGACGTAAACGTGCTATAACTATAAAGAAAACATTATAAAAACACTATAGATAAACATCGTTACTCTTAATTCTGTATATATATATATATATATATATATATATATATATATATATATATATATATATATATATATATATATATATATATATATATATACATATAACTTTGTTTCTTGGGAGAAGGGAGGTGACACCACGAATTGCCGCACCGGGTGACACCCCACCTAGCGACGCCACTGCATGCACGTAGGTTACATGTACGTGCGCGGCACCCACTGAGAACACCTGTTAAGGCGGGTGAGATAATATAGACATTGTCAAACTACCTTTTTATGGTGTTCAACTTTTTTTTGTGATGACAAACTACTTTTTTATGACATTAAACTACGTTTTTTGTGAGCCCCCCCCCCCCAAACGAAAAGGAATTTATATATTTATACATATTTCCCCCCGGAAATTTTAGTCATCCCCCCCCCCTCGAAAATTTCAAGTGCATCTCCCTGAGAAAAAGTCTGGAAGAAACAGGCAGGGCAATGCTGAGCCTGTTGCTGACCTCATGACCCCGTCATACGCCTGCTGTTCTGATTGGTGTTTTGGAAATAACGGCCCGGCTGTAGTCTCCACAGCTGGTGGTTGTCAAGCAGCTGGTTGTCACGACGGGTTGTCACGACGGGTTGTCACGACGGGTTGTCTCTCCCCCCCCCCCCCCCCCCCAACATTTAACCTAAACTTAGCTATACGTTATCAGCCTGTACTAAACTAGGCGACAAATATGCACATATTTGCTACCATAAAACTACTACTATCAAATAAATATCAGATAAATATAATTTAATGTGCAGACAAAGTTGATGCAAACGAAGCAGTGTGTAGATGTGTGCTTGTTGAGAGTTCGCTGACCGCATGTCGGCAGTGGTACAGGGCTGTTTCCACTGACCGCAGTGGTACAGGGCTGTTTCCACTGACCGCAGTGGTACAGGGCTGTTTCTCGTCCACTGACCGCAGTGGTACAGGGCTGTTTCCACTGACCGCAGTGGTACAGGGCTGTTTCTCATCCACTGACCGCAGTGGTACAGGGCTGTTTCCACTGACCGCAGTGGTACAGGGCTGTTTCTCGTCCACTGACCAAGATAATACAAGGCTGTGTTTTATTGACCTGAGTTTATTTCATCATGTGCATCTTGGACCATTAACAAAAAATCGAATTTAATTTTATCGTAGGGGCAATGAGTGTGCGGGGAATATAGACTATACACTATACGTCATTTTGTGTCTGTCTGTG